TCAGCTTTGACAGGTTGCGCGGCGCGCGCGTGTCTACATACCTAGTCGAGATATGGGGAGATGTGAGGGAGATATGAGGGAGATGTGTGCGCGCGTGTGTCTACATACAGCTTCTTGGTGCGCTGGATGAAGGTGTCGAAGCGGATGAAGGCATACCTAGGGTCGCGGTCAGGGTCAGGGTCAGGGTGAGGGTCAGGGTCAGGGTTAGGGTTAGGGTCAGGGTCAGGGTTAGGGTTAGGGTGAGGGTGAGGGTGAGGGTCAGGGCCAGGTTTTGGGTCAGGGTAAGGGCCACGGCAAGGGTTAGGGATAGGGTCAGGGCCAGGGTCAGGGAAAAGGGTCAGGGATAGGGTCACGGTCAGGGTTAGGGTCAGGGTCCTCCCGGCGGCGGGTGGGCTGCGCACGGGCGCGAGGCTGAGGGGATCTCGTCGCGGAACTTTCCCAGAAACTCCTTTTGCAGGTCGTCCAGGTAGCTGCGAGGGCGAGCGAGGTGCGGAATGGGCGCATGGCGGACACCAACGGTGACATGGATGGAGCGCGCTGCGAGGTGTGGAGCGAGGTGTGGAGCGAGGGTGCGTGGTGAGACGGCGCTGCCGCTCTTGTCGCGCGTGGGTGCTCTGCTCATGTGCCGGTAGGAGCCCCCACTCCCTCCATCGCGCCCCCCTCCGTCTCCGGAGCCGTCTCCTTGGATACCCTACCGCTAGGGATCCCAAACCCTGAGGACACCTGAACGCCAGGCGCTTCGGGTACGACCGCTCCGCGAGGCAGAGAAAGCAGACGCCCTCGAGGTGGATGTAGTGGAAGCTGTTCTGCCCCGACTCAATCTGAGGCGTGGCGGGATGGCAGATCGGACCCACCCTCGCGGTGGCGAGGAGAGCAATCGCGGCGGCGGCACCGTCATGCGCGCGGGCGAAGTCGCGCTCAGCTGCTTGACGATCTTCTTGGCCTGGGCCTGCGGGCGGTTGGGGAGGCGCAAACTCGGGCGCTTCAAATGCGGGTGGTTCGACCGTTTGATCGGCGCCCGAGTTTGATTGGCGAGAGGCGGCCGGAGGAGAGAGGACGTGCCCATGGCCAGCAGCGGTGCGGGAGGCGCTCGCTAGCCTTGTACGCGTCTAGCTCGCGGTGGTCCTTCTCCTCCTCCATTGAAGCAGCGAGCGGTAACCCATCGGTCAGGCGCGCCACAAGGGTGAGCTTGGGCATGGAGCGCGCTGTGGACCTGGACAGCGCCGCGCTGCACCGGGTCAGGCCCAGGAAAAAGAAAACCGAGCAGCAAAACTGCGGTGGCCCCACGCGCGAGGAGGAAGTGACAAGGGAGAGAACGACGAGGGTGGGACGACCGCGAGGTGGCATGAAGGTTGCAGCGAGAATCGGCGAGAGACTGCGAAGAGAGATAGGAAGAGGCAGACTCCCTAGGGTGGGCGACGGATAGCGCACCACACACCTCTCCTTAAAATCCCTGTGTGGTGGCGGCGTGCCGTCCTCCCATCCCTCCCTTGGGTTGTCTGTTTTCTTTCTTTCTTTCTTTCCCACGCGCGAGTTTCCTTTTTCAGCCACCTGCGGCGCGGGGCGCTGCGCGCGGCAAAACTGCTGGGATGTGGCCGCAGCAAGAGCCCCCGGCGGGCCTCCGGCGCAAGCCTGGCGGCGTGGCGCTGCGCGCCGGCGCTGCGCGCCATTCGAACGAAGGCTCGACTGCATCTTCGATCGCATCTAATTCGTAGATTTTGCGCCCCTATAGCAGCTCGCGGAGGAGCAAAGGGCGCCCGATTAGCGCTGCGCGCGGCCGGGCAAAACTCTGCACACGGCGTCAGGCGCTACAGGAAAAAGAAATTTACTACCTCTCGCACACGCATTATTCAGGAAAAGAATTTAACGAAAGGGCGGTCGCACGACACGATTCGCGCGACGAGGCGCGGGCGGCGGCTTCGGCCATGCCTTTAGATGTGCAGGGGGGGTACCGAGCGGTGTGCGGCCGCTCTGATGATTTCCACGGAGTTTCCCCAGGAAACTAGAGGGTGCTGTAGGGAAACTAGCAGGAAACACGGAAAGGAAACCAGGCAGGGTGCGAGAGGAAACTCTCGTACAGTGGGGTGCAAGGAGCGTGGCCGTCAGGTGGACGGACCGCTCGACCACTCGACTGGAAAGGGATGGGTCAAAGACCACGCGTATGGAAAGGGGTGGGTCAAGACGGATACGGGCTGGAAGTGGATGGGGGCGCAGTACTTCGACGCGAAGTGGGTCAAGAAAGCCATAACGCGGCTGGTGCTCGTGGAAACTTTGGGAGGCATTGCGCCGCCCACCAAGCAGTTCCTCCACGTGTTCGCCAAGGAAGCGGTGGGCACTAACACGGACCGGCGGTGTATGGGGCGGCGTCGGCGAGCGCCTCCTCCTTCGTCGTCCACACCACACGCAGCAGATCTCCAAGGCGGCGGTGGCGGGCGACGCCGACAACATCAACAAGCAGGCGCGCAAGGAGCGTACCGACTGGATCAACAAGCAAAAGAACAAGCAAGCGACGAACGGCTTCTTGTCCTCGGCCCCAGTGGGGGGTGCGGCCCGCGCCGCCTAGCTCTGCAGACGGGCCCCTCCACCCTTCCTATAATCATGTAGTCCCCACATTCGCAATCGTGGGGTCGCTTGTCATGTTGAGCGATAGCCCCGCCGAGGTACGAGCGGGGCGGTAGCCTTTCTTCACACCGGAGTACTGGTGCATCCAGCCCTCACACACAGAGCCTGGCTCTGCTGTGAAAACGAAAGAGGACGTACGCGCCTACTTTCAAGACAACGCGTTCCTTACGACGTGCCTATGGCTGAGCCGCCCAATGGCGCTCGCCCACTGGCCTACCACAGCCGAGCGCCTCGCGCCCGGCTCTGGGCCCCGCGACAACGCTTCGCGCAGTCTTGACAATGGAAATCGACCGGCTCCGCTCCTGCGAGCGGGCCGTCCTGCTTCTGCGACGATTCTGACAGAAATGTTTTGTCGACCAAGTTGCTTCAGAGCCAACCACAGCTCGAGCATGCAGCAGAGAGGGTGAAGTGAGGGTGCCAGGCGGTGCGCCTGCATCTGGGCTGCCACGCGGGATCTTCCGCCTTCCCGACCGTCGCGAGCACTCTGGAAATCCAGTGCCTCTCACCCTCGCACTTCTCTACGCATGTGCCCTTCACCATTCCGTGGGCCCACTGCGGGCCGGATGGAGTGGCGCAGGCTCGCATCACATGCGTGTGAGCCCCGCGGCCTCGCCGAGATCCACTCTGCTGCGCGGGGGTGCGGACCCGAGGACCGCCAGCCACCATCAGTGCGCTCATAAGACCACTCGCCACCACGGCTCGAGTTGGGAGAAGGGGTGCGGACCCGAGGACCGCCAGCCACCAACGGTGCGCTCATAAGACCACTCGCCACCACGGCTCGAGTTGGGAGAAGGGGTGCGGACCCGAGGACCCTTCTGCCCCTCGCTCACACCCCGGCCCGACACGCACATACAAGACAAACCCGGCGTCCTGCTCTCAAAAGAAAAAGAAAAAGGGAATGAGGAGACCAGCGGGGGAGACTCCCCGCCTATGCAAGCCCCAGAGAGGGGCCGCCATCGCCGAAGCTGTGCCAAAGCATAACTCCAAAACCCGCAGCGGCCCAGGGGGCCTTGGGGGCAGCCTGCCGGACCGCCGCTGCACGGGGCTAGGCACCAGAAGATGAGTGGATTTGATGAATTTGGCCGTTGTCCCCGAAGAGTTTTTTCTTTAAAGATGCCCTGCAAGTATAAGCGCGTTTGCTATTCGAAATACCTGCGTTTCCTGTACAGGAAGCGACAGCCTCTCCTCTCCAGACACACACCTCATACACACATATGGAGCCCCTCTCTCGCCCCCCTGGCGGCGGCAGTGGCCATGGCGACGCTGACGGCGGTGGCACTCGTGGGACGTGGCGGTGACACTCGTGGCCGCGGCGGCGCCTGGGCAGCAGAGAGCTGTCGCTGCAGTGCTGGCGGCAGCTGGCGGCGGCGGCTGGATGCGGCGGCTGGCGGCGGCATTGCTGGCGGCGGCCACGCGGGGGAGGCGTTGCTGTGGCGGCGATGCAGCGCTGTCCTCGCGGCTGACGTGCGCCCGGGATAGCAAGCACTGGCAGTCTGCCGCGAGGACAGCGCTGCATCGCCGCCACAGCAACGCCTCCCCAGCGTGGCCGCCGCCAGCAATGCCGCCGCCAGCCGCCGCCATGAGCCGCCGCGGCAAGCTGGGGCAAGCGGCGCCGCTCGGTGCGCCAGCGGGACCGCGGTGCGCTCTCGCGCCTCGCCATGCTGCAGGCTGGACGAGGGACATTTGTCGCGACTTTCAATAGGGAAAACGCAACGCATCTTGAATATGCCTGCAGGCAGGGCATCTTTAAGCACAGAAACGCCGCGCCGCTGCGGCCCAGGTCGAGACAACGCATCTTTCGTCCAGCCATGACGAGCGTCTGCGTTACGGGCGCCTCCGGCTTCATCGCCAGCCACATCGTTGCTCAGCTGCTCGAAAAGGGCTACACCGTCAAAGCCACGGTGCGGGACGCCTCCGACGCAAAGAAGACGGCCCACCTCACGAATCTCTGCGGCGCGGCCGAGCGCCTCCAGCTCTTCAGTGTCAACCTGATGGGCGAGCCCGACCGCTTCGACGAGTGCATCGCTGGCTGCGTGGCCATCTTCCACACAGCCACGCCGGTCGTGATGGGCGCCGGTGCTGACGGGAAGGCGCAGATCTACGAGCCGGCGATGAAGAGCACAGAAGAGTTGCTCACGGCGATCACCAAGGCCGGCACGATCAAGCTCTTCGTCTTGACTTCATCCATGTCCGCGGTGGCGCCGCAGCCGGAGCCCGCCGTCAAGACGGAGGAGCACTGGAGCGACGACGCCGCGTGCGTGCGCCCCATCTCGATCCAGCGAGACCCAAGCTCTCTCCGCCACACCGCTACCTAAACGGAGGCCTCGCGTGCGGCGCGCAGGCAAGAGGCCAAGAACAACTGGTATGGCTGCACCAAGACGCGGCAGGAGAAGCTGGTGCAGGCGACGCTCGCGGGCTCGGGCGTGCGGTACGTTGCGATCTGCCCGACGGGCGTGTTTGGCCCGATGCTGCAGCCTTCGGTCAACGCGACGATGAATTGGGTGGCGAGCATGACCAAGGGGCCGAAGAATGGCAAGTGCGTGCCGGCCGCACTGCGAGCGTGGCGCTCCGCGGTAGCTACATGAGCAGCGCCGCTGCCCCTGCACCAGGTGCGGCAACGACTCGATGTCTTTCGTCGACGTGAGGGACTGTGCCGCGATGCACGTGGCGGCTCTCGAGAAGCCGGAGGCGGCGGGGCGGTACATTTGCGTGGCCGGCACCGCCACCGAGCGCCGGACAGAAGGAGGTGCGCCCGCCCCACGCCACGTCCGTGGAAGCATGCAGACGAGGCTCGCTCCGAGCAAATGTCGTGTTGTTGCGATTCCGGATGGTTCGGAGCAGGTGCGGTCGTGTACGCATCGACCCACTGGAACGACGTGTACACCATCGTGCGCGAGATCTGCCCGCAGATGCCGCCCTTCGAGCCGTGCGACGGCGAGCCCGTGGTGCGCGCCCAGCACGGATACTTTGCCTTTGCCGAGAAGTGTGCGCCGAGATCCGCCTCCCCGTGCCGGAAGGCGAGCGCGCTCGCTTTCGATCAGGTGCCCACATCCTTCGACCTGACCAAGATGAACACGCTCCTTCCCGTGAGCGAGATGCGAGGGGTGCGCCAGATCCTCAGCGACGCGATTGCCGACCTCAAGGCCAAGGGAGTGGTGCAGTGAGACTCGTCGCCGACTCGGCGATTTTCAGGCGTTCAGCGGGGCTCGCCGTCTCGTCCTGCACGGGGCATATGGACATCCAATGCCCCACGCGTAGGTCAATGTGTGCACGCTTGTGGGAGATTCTCGTTTGTACAGTCGGGCGTCTCACCGCTCAGAGGCCGGAGACACCTTTAGTTCGGTCTTTTTTTTTGCAAATTGTGTTTTTTACATACTGGGCTGGGTTTTTAGGCATTGTGGGGTTGGCACTCCCATCGACCCTCATGACCTCCTGCGGTCTCTGAGATGGACACCAGTGGGTGTGGGACCACAGTCAGGATAAAAAAAAATTGCTTTTACCCTGCGAAAGACACTACTCTCCCCCCCCCCGTCACTCGTCCCCCTTGGCGTGGCGCGCCTCTCCCCCAGCTCTCGGTATCGCGTACTGCACGAGGCTACCGTGGGCCCCGCCTGCGCGCTGGGGGTTCCCTGCCCTGTCGGGAAGCCTAGCTCTGAACCTGGGGTCGCTACCTAATGCGGGGCTCCTGGACGGGTGATGAAGTTCGCCTTGAATCTCTCGTCTCGCTTTCCCCCCGACTCGCGTCCGTCGGGGGTACTCCCTGCTTTGGCTCTCTGATCTCCCCCCCCCCCCCCCCCTCCTTCCCTCTCCGGGATGAGAAGCGCGCTGCTGTCCCTGAGCAGACGCACAGTGGCACAGCTCTGAAATGGCGCTGCGCGTGTTTGCGTGCGCGCGGGGACGTACGTGCAGTTTTCACGCGGTGTGCGTGGAGAGGGTCATGCAGGGCGCCGGCAGCGCGTGGCTCGGCGTGTGGGAGTGTTGGGGTGCCCGTAGGCGCGTGGGAAGGTGCCCGAAGGGCGATCATTTCGGGGTGCTGAAGGAACTGTTGTTCACAGCTTCACCACAGTCAGGATACACTCGAAGGCTGGGTAAGCAGTAGAGGTCGATACTCGACGCGTCCCACATGGTCTGTGTCGCTGTCGGCACGCTGTCGACAGGACGTCGAGCGACACCGGTGGCAGTGCCACCCAGGAGTGGTCGGGCGGTCTCCCGTCATGAGAGAGCC